CAAGCAACGATACGAAATGTTTGAGAAGGTTAATCCGTGTCTTTTTTCATCAAACGTCAGCCCCATGTTTTCTTTTCTTTTGTTCTTTTCCATCGCAGACCGTTGTGGTTAGTACACCAGCGTGCATATATTCAACATGTTTGGCGGAGCGCAGAGACAGAATACTATGATTATTACGTGAGTCCGACAAATTCCTTGCCTCCAGCTCTTGAATCACTTAGTAACGATCTGGTAAGCATTAGCTTACATCGTTACAAGGCAATAAGATCGTAAGTTATCATTATATGTTTCTTTGGCGACGCTGAAACTCTTCCTTTCGCAGGTATGCAGCCGCTGTCCTTGGACTTCTGATGCACAGATTTTTTTTCTTGCCACAAACAATACTACCACTGCTCGTTACGCACCTTAATAATCCCAACGCCACTGAAGAATCGACACTAGGTGCCTGTGCAATACTAAAAACGAGAACAGTTATACGGTCTATGATGGAGGTGCGCCTAACAAGCATAGTTATTTGCCTTTGTGTTAATGTTTTGTTTTATAGGATTGGTCATGTCTGCCTGCGTTTTTAGCTTCATTTCTCAAGAGGTATGACCAACTGCTTTTCTTTATTTATCACTTTCTTAAACTTCATTTTCTAGCGCTCATCATGATTCCACAAAAGCGCAGAACGCTATTAACAAGGTATATTTCTTTATCAGCCATGGCAAATCATCTGATATAACTCGATCGTAAAGCTTTTCATTGCCTTCAATTGGTATTTTGGTGGGTCTCCTGTCCAAGTAACACCAAATATTGAGGACACAATAATGGATATCAAAAGCTTCGCTACCGGTGCTTCATCATCCGTCCATTGGCGGTAAAACTGCACTGTTTCTTGTAAGGGTTTGACTTGGTTCTTTTAAATGGCAGGTATAATCTCATGGCTCAAGGATTGCTGTTGTTTCTAACACTGGCCCCGTTCTTTGAATCTGGAAAGAAAAATTTGAATCTAGTCAGAAATGGATACGGTAAGTCTATGTTTTTGTAAGCTTCACATTCATGGTCTCGATGTTTTTCCTGACAGAACATTTCCTCGGAAAACTTACTAGTGATTTGCCGACGGTGCGAAGGCTGTCAGTGAGAGCCGTGCTACTACTGTTAGGTGCTGAATCCGACAAGATGCAGGGGCATGAACTAAATGGATCAATCACCATTGGGCAGCAATTGCTAAGTGAGAGCTTTGGCGAACGTGTTGTCGAGCTGCTGGCACTTGACCACCATTACACTGAAGACGATGGCATCCACGTTCCGCAAAGCATGTCCGACGTCGGCCTGGTTTACTTGCTACCGACGTACATGTGCGACTGGCCTTCAACGAGGAGTTGGGAGTCGAAGTCACTGGGAGTTGCATTCTCGAAAGCTTCCGCTAAGCTGTTTGAAGAGCTCACTCGGAAATATGGCCAGATTGTCTTGGACATCTTACGACGGCCGCTGGAAGACGCTGTCTCGACCGTGGATGAACGTGGGAAGCAGTGTGCTGCGGCTGAGATAATCGGGGGTGTGATACGGACGGAGGCTGCCTGCGTTGAGGCGGCATGGGATGACTGGCTATCAGCTTTGTTGCGTAAGGCCCTCAAGAAAACCACACTGGAATGCGCTCCTGAATGGGTGGCATGCATCCGATATGCAACGAGTGGGAGCCAAGGGTCGGCGCTGCGTTTTAAAGTGCTGGAGTGCCTTGGCAAGTTACTGGGATCGCATGCTTCTTCGAGTCTCGCCGCTAAGCGGTTTAATTTTCTCACCGCGGCACTATTGGAAGTCCAGAGCAAAGACATGCTTAGCGACGAAGTCAGCTTCCAGGTCATGCTTCTCGACGAGATATTGGAGTACACTGGTCACTCGACTGCTCAGGTGAAGCCTTGGTTGATTCAGTTTCTCACTGTGAGCTTTGTGATCGTTGGTTTAAATGCACAGGTCCGGAAGGCGATCGGGACGCTTGCTTGTGTTTTAAGTGCTGGCCTACGAGAGTGTGGTCACGAAGTTCCACTCGATGGCAGCACATCTCTCGGGAGGTTCATTCGGCGGACCGAACCAGAAGCAAGGAAGATCCTGAATGTGCACGAGAACGTTGAAGGGGATGTTTCGAAACGTGACAAAAAGGCTGTCAAGGACATGGAGACGGTAAGTGATATTGATCTTTCGGCTAGCTTCTTTACACCTCTGGTCGTGCAGGTGTTTTATTTTCTGTTAGCTTGTATGTACTCAGGACGGTTCAACATTTTGTCAGACCTTGTAGTTGAACTTGTACATCCACTTCTTTTGCTCCAGGTTCGGTTTATAGCTTTCTTGCTTTGAGACTAAGGAAAGAGTGTGTTGTATCAGGATACCTCGGAAAAAGACCTGACACACTTAGCACGGTCGGCTCTGCGTTACCTGAAGTGGCAGCTCTTTCCCACCTCGCACCTTGCCGAACTTGTGTCGCGATTACTCAAAGCTGCGAGTGAGGATAACTGGCGCGTTCGAGTTGCCTCCATTTCGTTCCTTCAGCCATTTATGTACAGGTCTGTTGTTTTTGTATGAGCATGGTACTACTATCTAATGTCGTCTTATTTGCGTACAGACATTCATTCTTATTGAATCATAGCCTTTGGCAGTTGCTTTGGAACAAAGTGACTGAATCTCTATGTGACCCTCAGCTGGAGGTAGGAGTTTTCATACATTTTTCTCTTTAAAAAAATAAAAAAGAGGAAGACTTACATGTTTGTTGTCCTTTATCGATCAGGTGAGAGAGATGTCGTCGACGGCTGCAGCGGGCATGATGAGAGGCGCAGAGAGCAGCGTGGTGCAAAGCTTTCGCGAGCAGGCACTGGCGACAACACGCTCAATCTTAAAATCCGGGAAGCCAAAGTAAGCCACCCAGTGTGTTCAACTTGTTCCTTGTTTGTAGCGGGTGATTGATTTCAAGACCTCTCACTTGCTCGTGTGCCTTGCTTCCCAGCTCGCACAGGCTTCCGGATGGGCTTGCAGTTCCCGTGGTGCACGGCGCAGTGCTTGCTCTCACAGCATGCATTCTCTCCGTTCCTTACGATATACCCAGGTACTCGTCACAAGAAACTCTGACCCGTTGTGATCTTTACCGTATCAGCTGGCTGCCCGAGATGGTGACGACAATAACATACTTCAGCCATTACCCGTGGCCGATACGAGCGACCGTAACCAAGGCGATTGGCGAGTTCCGTCGTACGCACTCGGATACTTGGGAGATTCAGAAGGAACAGTTCACGGAAGAGCAGCTCGAGGTAGTGTGTTTTACTTTTCTTTTGTTGCTTTGATTCTTCCTCATCTCGTTTGCCTGGCAGCTGCTATTAAATTCAGGCACAGCCACTTACTTCGCTTAAAAAAAGGCCCACTTGTACACAGCAGACACACACATTATATTCATTCATACACAGAGGATAGAGATATTATCACCGTGATTATCGTTTCGATACGTCTAAACGAATCTACACAACATAGAGCTTATATGTACGGTATCCGGCGAGGGGCCAGCTGGTACGGAGCTGGCGTGGCGCTGACATCACAGTTTTAAATTTTTTTACCTCTTTTTTGACAACTCCAGGAATGATTCTTGTGCAATTTGAAAGAGTTTGGGACCAGTTGTTGGGGATGCATTTCACCTGGTGCTCTGCCCCCACTTGGTGTATATATATTGCAGTGAAAAGCAGCCATTGGTTGGAAGGATGCTGGTCATGGGGATCATTTTGCTAGGGCTGTGTAGTGAGTAAACAATGGCCCCAACTTGGAGTATATATATTACAGTGAAAAGCAGCCATTGGTTGCAAGGATGCTGGTCCATGGGGATCATTTTGCTAGAGCTGTTTAGTGACTAAACAATGGCCCAACTTGCTGGGGATTGTTTCTAGAATGGGGCCTTTTTCGCTTTTGCTCTGATACACTGCTTAGTGTACATTGAATTGGTAAGGATTGGAGAAATATTCTTGGAGGGCGGATGCGGGCTCCCTTGATTATTTTGTGTGGCAAGCGAATTGTAAACTCGGGGGCAATGAACTATTCTTCCCACTTGTTGCCTGCGGCTTTTCATTGTAAATTGGGTCTTAGGCTCTTATGCTATGTATACATGTATGCTCTTCTCTGAATGGCTATTGTGACACATGAGACTGGTGGATGCAACAGTGCAAACATGAAACTGATGGATGCAAGGCAAATTGATCTCGACTCCAAGCTTTATTTATGTTTGACAATGCTATCCACTTGATTGTGGCGGTGAGATGCAAGCGATGAGATGCAATGCACCGTCACTGCAGCCCCAACACTAGACCACAAAACCAGTTCTATTTGCCTGATTTGATTCCAGATCCAGGGATTTGGGTGGGGGCGTGACGAGAAGAAGAAAGATGGTACTTAGTTGGAACAGTGTGACTGATCAAGCTAGAGAAAACGTAAGAAGTTTTTTCTTGGGGTTTTGTGTGCGGGGCAACTTGGCAAGTTGGAGCTGCCAATGCAGTTTTCACGTGGAAGATTTGGGCATTGAAAAGCTGATATTTTCCCGTTCGTCTTCGTCGCAGTCGTCGTCTCCGTCACCAAAACATATTACTTGTATATCAAAATGTGGTGCCTGTGGTGGGGAGGATTGATGGATTCTTTGCTGGAGCTTAATTATAAAAGGTCCCCCCGCCACCCTGCAATTTGGCTACTTGGGCATCCTCCTCGGTGACAAACGACAACTCGTTACTGCGACCGCCAGCCAATCCTCCAGTCCAATTCCTCTCTTTTACTTTACGACGCGAAGCCCACAGGATGGATCCATTCCCGCGACTTGATCATCCACAAACTTCGCTCTCTCCCAAATTGTCAAGTGGGGGCGAGCGCAAGTTGGACAGCGATCGATCAAATAGCGGAGCGACGGAATATTCGCGGCCCCGCGGTGAATATTCCCGACGGCCCTGCAGTTAGATCCTGAGCCCGCCGTACGCGTGCGATTTTGTGACCGCATTTGGGCCCCTCACTTCACACCAAAAGACTCTCTCTCTCTCTCTCCACGAGAGAGAGAGAGGGAGAGGGAGAGAGAGAGAGAGAGGAAAGCTCCTTAAATTTCCTCTGTGTGTGTGTGAGTTCCCTCAGAGCTCGCGGTAGCTATCAAAAAGGACTACCTTCCTTGACAACCCACTCACGCAAAGAAGATCAAGAAAGCTGGGCTGGTTTTGTTTCTTGGATTGGATTCTATCCAAGCTGGAGGGTGTGGGCGATCCGAGCTAGCGCGAGCGATTTCTCGCAACGGCAAACGCAATGGTGGCCCCGACGATGATCGATTCATTGGGAGAAAACAAGGTAAAGAACACCAATCTCCACTTCTTATCTTAGAGCGAGGATCGAAGGAAGAGCTTTCCTTGCATGAGATTTTCCAGAGTGATTGGATTCTTCCTCCTTGACGACGCTGGTGCTGCCTCTGACTCAAGGAGAGCCGCCTCCGAGATCTAAGCTCCCACTCGAGCTTCTGGCTTTAGAAACTCCGCGCAAGTCAACCATGCTCTTCCTTGCTTTTTTTTATCTTTCTCTTTTTCCTTCTTGGTCGGTTCGAGCAATGCATATCCGCGCGAGAAAGCGGAGAGAGAGGGAGTGTGTGTGAGAAAAGGAGAAGAAGGAAAAAGAGAAGAAGGTCCGCGATTGTGAGTAGTGGGTTTTGCTCCCCCATCGCTAATCGCTCGTGGGTTCTTGTCCGATTACCAGACCCGCGCTGGGATGGTGGTGGAGCAGCGGATCATCCGTCTCGAGGACGTGGTATCTCTGGACGATCACTCCAAGCCCAGCAAAGTCGAGAGAGCCGGAGGCGGAGGATCGGACAACACCACCACTGCCGCCACAATCACCACCGGCAAAGAGGTGGACGATATGCTCACGCCCCAGCAGCGATTGCAGCTGGACGAATCGCGGTGGCGCCTCCACAGCGTGCTCTCGGCCGCGCAGCCCCACCAGTGCGCCAATCTCTTGCTCCAGCGGATCGATGCGCCCGTCAGCGCTGTGTGGCCGATGCTCCGCCGCTTCGACACGCCCCAGGCCTACAAGCGCTTCGTCAAGGCGTGCGTCATCGCCAGCGGCGATGGCAGCAGCGTGGGCAGCCTCCGCAACATCACGCTCATCTCGGGCCTCCCCGCTAGCTGCAGTACCGAGAGGCTGGAGATCCTGGACGACGAGCACCACATCGTCAGCTTCCGCGTCGTTGGTGGCGAGCACCGCCTTCGGAACTACGCCTCCGTCACAAGCTTGCACGAGTTTGAGGTGAGCGATGGTGGTGGTGGATCCATTTCCATGGCCATCGCCACCGGTGGCGGCAGCGCAGGTTTGAGGTGTTCTTCCGGGGATCACGGAAGAACAGCTCCGGCAACTTTGGCTCCCACCAGGAAGGTGGTGACGGTGGTGATGGAATCCTATGTGGTGGATGTTCCAGAGGGGAACACCAGGGAGGATACTCGCGTTTTCACCGACACGGTGGTGCGGTGCAACTTGCAGTCGCTGGCCAAGATCTGCCAGGCGAATTTCAAGCTGGAGCAGCGCCGCTGCCAGCAGCAGCAGCAGCAGCAGCCGGAAATGGCGTCCTGCAAGAAGGATTCGGGGCAGGACAGTGGATTGATCTTGATGAGATGATACATAGACGCGCCCGCGAGGTTTATACTTTTCTCTTTGGATTTTTTTCCGCGATCGCACAGCACAACCCGACCGATCGCTCGTTCGTTCGTTTGTTGCAAAGGTTTGATTCGCTTGGATCGTTGGAATGACCCAGTGTGAGAGGCTGGAAAAATGTGAAAAAATCTCTTTTTATCATTTTTTTATTCCCTTGGTGTACATAGAGGTCTTTTTGGGAGGATAAGATCGTCAATCAATCAATACACATTACAACACTCTCAAGCGAGAGATGCGATCAATTTTTTTTTACAAGCCAAAAAGGAAAAAAATAAGGAAAAAAAGACCGTTTTTGTCATTTGAGATCATTAGTATTCCTTCTTTTTTGTCTTTCAGCTTTTGCAGTGTACCTACAGGCAGTATATGTAGAGAGTACACCTTACAAAGTATATTTTGTAGAAGTGAGGATCAAATCAATCAATCAATCAATCAATCAATCAACCGCCACCCTAATACGAAGCTGTAAGAAACGTGTTAGGGTTCTTCAAGTTGCTCCAGCTCCCTTTGTGAATGCGAAGGAGACGCACCACCAAACTCAAACTCAAGATCTCACAGCCTCTAGATTCCTGAGCAAAAGCAAAAGCATCCCCAACTGTAGATATGTTACACTTTCTCATGTAACGAGTAACAAGCTAGTCAAGGGAAAAAGTGTTAGTTTACACAATTGTCCATGGATATTGAAAGCACTGGCCAGAAGAGGCTTCTTGCAATTCCATTGTCGTCTAGTCCGGTCAGGATACCTGGCTTTCACCCAGGCGACCCGGGTTCAAATCCCGGCAATGGAAAAACATCCCTTTTTATTAATTTTTGTGTGAAAACTTCTAGGTGGCGGATCTATAGTTACGTGGAACTAAAAGGTGGCGACTATGGTGGTAGTATTTTAGTTACACATTAGGCAGTGGTGGTGGAGCATGTCTTGGAAATGGTGGGAACCTGAAGGGAAATGGAAATGGAGGAAACCATGGGAACGGGAATGGAGGGAATTTTGGTGGTGGCTTTGGGCCGTGAGCAGGGCCCGAGGCTGGACGAGGAGGATGTGGGCGAACGATCGGACCCGGGCATTCGCAGTCGAGAGCTCTTCGCGGCCCAAAGCAACCGGCAGGTGGAAAGATCCCGCAGCAAGGATGCGAGCGAGCGCACAAAACTCTGGAGCGCGCCTCTGTGCAAACAAACAAGGATGCTGATAGAACCACCACGCACGAGAGAAGGAATCCAAAAGCATTAGCCATTTGTGCTCGCTCGCTCTTTTCCCTCCTCGAGTTTAATCTCGCTCGCTCGCTCGCTCACTCTATGATCTCTCACTCGCTCGCTCGCTCGCTCTCTCTAAAACACGCGGTGGCCGTGAGCTTAAATGCGAAGGAAGATGTAAGTAGGTGGATGGAGACTTTACCTCGAAATTGTTTTCCTGCCACGCCGCTCTGAGCTGCAGCTCTTTGAATGGTCGTGATTGCATTTTTCCACCGAGGAGGATCAAATTTTTGTTGTTACAACCGTGAAGATTGCGCGGTCCCTATGACATGCGGCGAGATCAGGAAGGCGCTGCTGATGTTGATTCGCTGCGCCGCGACGCTCGCGAAGCTGGCGGACTGGATGCCGGAAAGAGTGTCACGGGTGAGGTGGCAGCCATCGGCGACGAACTGTTGGACGGGGTCGAGAACGTTTTGCCAGAATCTCACGCTGCTTCCTTCTGGATTGATTCACGCGAGAGACTGAGATCAGGAGCGCAAGGAGAGTTTCCAGTAGCCAGTACCTTGAGCCGCAACGTGCTCCAGGAAGTAGAACGTAGCTCCGGGCTTGAGGACTCGCTTCACTTCTACATTAATTCAAGGAGTGTTAAACGGAAGATCGAGAAAAAAAAAAAACAACCTTGGAGAGTTGAATTTAGATCTTTCACCGAGCACAGCACCAGAGTTGAGATGACCGAATCTACGGTCGAAGTGGCGAGGGGTATTTGCTCTCCAACCTGGAAAGAAAAAGAGTAGAAACTCATGAACTTGTGAACATTGTCGCACTCACGGCATGGATAAACTTGAATTGGGAATTCGATAGCCCGGCATCGGCTGCAGCAGCTCGAGCGTACTTCTCCATTTTTTCGTTGGGATCGATCCCAATGACACTCATGCCGCTCCCTGATCTCGCGTAATACTTGAGATTTGGACCCGTGCCGACACCGAGCTCCAAAACAGTGGTGGCAGCCGATCTTTGTCTCAGGCTCTCGAACAGTTTCTCTTTGTATTTCGCCGCCTAGAAGGATTTCATGGAAGAAAAAATTTTCATCGAGAGTTTGTAAGTCGTTCACCTCAGCCTCGTAAGCCACCATTCCACATTTTATGCTTTGTGCGTAGAACTCCTCGTACCAGTCAGGCCTTTTCGGATGGACTGCTCTCAGCGTTTGCTGCGAAAGAGAAGAGCAAGAAAGAAGAACAAGGAAAAGTTGCGAAGAAAAGGATAACTGTTACTACTAGATAGCCATCTTCAAGGCCACCTGCATGTAGTCCAGCCTCACTCGTTGCTAGCGATGTTCCCAGGATTGATGCAAGCACTTGCCTCCTCCCGCATCCGCACCAGCAATCACAGTTGCTGCTGCCCTCCAGATCTCCTGAAGACCCACTTTGAGGAGCTGTGCAATCCATTGTGCTGTGCAAACCCAGCACGCAAAGCCGTCGTCTCGTGAGTGCCAGGAACCTCACCATGGCCTTGTACTTGAACCCGCATTTCCTTCCATCTTGTGGCCGCCTCCAGGCCGACGGAGGATTGAAATCCACCACTATGCTCATGGCCTTGACGTCGATGGCCCTTGAATGCTTACTCGTGTCCCTATGCGAGCGCAGAAAACCTACACGCTCTCCTCTCTTTCAAACTATGACTAAATAATGGTATCTTTAAGATCATCGCTTTGAGGTTTGTGGAGAGAATGCCCAGAGAATGGAGGGGATGAAGCGGCAGTGATCGCATGGAGACTCGTGGAATTCTTGAGTTCCATCGCTACTTTGGCTGCAACCTGCAAGGCGATAGGAAGATCTAGGGATTGATGATTTATCATAGAGAACACATCTATTAAATACAGTAGTGCTTGGAAGGCGTTCGGTGTCCTGGAACGCTCTCATGCTTAGGCTTGTAGGCAATGGGAAGACGACCTTGTATTAGAGCTCTTTGCACACAGAATGAGGCTTAGGTTTGTCAAGCACATTCGAGATGTTTCTTCTCTTGAGGGAATCATTGGTGAATGTCAGATCTTAAGTAGGAATACCATGATAAATACAAGAAGAAGATACCAAATTATGTGAAGGAGGTTTTTATCAAAATAATTAATTGATACCTATAATGGAAAGGTGTGTATATACTCTCTACGCTACAACTTTACATAATATCAAACCTAAAATATATGAAATCCTAATTTAAAAAGAATAATTTATAGGGGTTCAAATATAAAAGGAAAAGACTAAGTATGCTCTTTTTTTCAATAAATTAAAAGTTTGACATATTTAGGGTTAAGTGTCCTTGGGTTTGAATTCCTGGAAAGGCTAAATTTAGGAACTTACATAAGTAATAAATGGAAGAATTTTTTTTAAAGTGTGCTTTGAACATTTATATTGAACTGTCATCAATTGAGAAAAGAATATTCCTTAGCATCTTTATGATTGTTAGATATTCAGAATTTATAGGGAAGATTTACCTAGTTTTCTACTTTATATGTCTCTAACCTTAACACTATAGGCTATAAATATATCCTTGATTTGTGCTATTATACCTTTGAGAATAATCTATATTAGCACATGTTTATTAATTGCACTTTTAATTTATAGCACACCCCATCTCTTTCCCTTTAAGCCAATTGGAAAAAAGGGCAATTACTTGATAAAAGAACCTTTATCTCACCCTATAATCACATGTGTTATATAGTTATAGAAGAGGACAATCTACACCCTCTTTTCATCATGATAATCAACTTACAATAATATCCTATAAAAGTGAATATTTGATATAGTAGTTTGGACTTCTCAAGACTTCACATTTACTTTGGATCTGAAATGTAAAATGCTTTGTTTACCATTATCTTTTGTGTGATCATAGCTTGAAACAAATTGGCTGGACATTAGGCACCACCCAACAATACTTACAAAAGATGTTATTATTTTTTAGATGGCCTATGTCCATAAGAATCCACAACAAATCACACCCAAGCTTCAAAAGTTTTTCCCATTAAAGTTTGGTGGGAGAAATTAAAGAATTTAGAATATTTGTGTGTTTTTAAGTGAGCTGAAATGAAGGTTTTTGCAAGGATTATTCAAGAGGCATTTAACCACAAAGATATAGGAGATGTTTTGCCATGTGATCGATTGCAAATTGTACAATGTATCTACCTTATGTGCATAAGGCTTATTAACAATAATAAATATTTTTATTTTAAATTTTGTATTTTTAAATTTCCTTTTAGGTTGGTACCTTTGGGTTTATACAATAATCAATGTCTACTACATTAGATAGTTGCTATACTAATATATGGAGGACACTATCTATGATATTTACACTTTTATAGTAAGATGTTTGGCTGACAAACTAATGAATGATTTTGCTATAAATTTCAACCTCATTAAGTAGGATACTTTCATTCAAGGACCTTCCCTTGAAGCTCTTTTATTTTAGTTGAGTCTAACTATTTCTTCCTATAGTATTGAATGCTTTAATTTCTTGAGGACAACTTAGCCAACAACATAAATAAACCATGGCAATTCTTAAGTATTGAATGCTATAATTTCTTGAGGACAGTTTAGCCAACAACATAAATAAAGCATGGCTAGTATGACATTATTCTTAAGTGTGGTTTCTTAATCATAAACAATGCATTGGTAAAGGTTTCTTGTTTTTTTTTTGTGGTGTAGAGAATTCTATAAACAATTTTGAGCTCTATATATTATTTTAAATTTGTTTATTTGTTTATTTATTTATTTGGTAATGTCATTTTCAATATATAGTGTAAAAGAGTCAGACCTTTTTGATACTAAATGTAAACTCCTTAATTTAAACTTTTTGAAATGTTACCTAATTCAATATTATTCAAATTTTAACCCTAAGACCCTTAACAATTTTGAAAAGGGGATGCACTCTTTCTTATAAACTTTTTCCCTCTATATTTGAATCCTTATGAATTATCTCTCAAGGCGTTGTCTTTAATTGTTTACACTAATATGATTCATTGTATAAAAGTTCACTCACTTACAAAGAATTTTGTGCATTTGGAGGAGTAGGAAGTAAAGACATATTAATAAGCATCATGCCACCAACTTTCAGCAAGATCTTGGATTCCATCTCATTGAAAATATAGAAGAAGATAAAAATGTGAAGGAAGTGGACCAATCACTCCATCTAGCATTTTGATAATAAATATTTATTTAAGTTTTTTTAAATTTATTTTTCTTGATCTTAAGTTTGTCTCAACTTTAGTTTTTCTTAAATTTAAGTATAAGCTATTTTTTTAGAAGTTCAATACTTTTGTTCTAGCTTATCAATTTGGGGACAATTATTTGTGTTCACATAGCATTCAATTATGTTACTGATAATTGCAAGCTCTCTATCCTATGAGGACTTAAAGTTTAACATTAATTTGGAAGGCAAATGCTTTAAAAATAAGGACTACCATAGAATTTTTCCATAGGGGGCAAATGTTGCAAGCAATATGTTCCCACTTTTAACTTTGCTTTGGTAAATATATATTTATTTACAACAACTTTGACATAGAACCTATAATTTGAAATCAGTTTTACAAGGATTTTAATGTATTTAGTAAATACATATAAGAGTAGCATACAACCTACTTACTCAACTTATTGGTGGATTCAAACCTTAGAAGACCTAAAAATATAGAGTGTTATAATATTAAGTGGATATGACAATTCTTCACCTCAATGCCTAATAAATAAGTGTCATTAGTTGATACAAAAGTTGGTGCAACAACACTCTTTATAATTACTATGGCTACATCATTGTTAAGGAAGTAGTTGAAGAAGATGTTCTATTGCCAGAGATAATAACCCTAGAATTATGAGAATAATTTTTTAAATAGAAGTCTAAGTGAAAATGCAAGTGCATTTCAGCATAATTAAGAACTTCTTTTGACAGTTTACTTGTCTAGAGCCCCATGACAGTTAGTTGCTAGGAATTATTATAGAGGAATACATTGAAATTAGTAATACATTATTTTAAAAATTTTACACCCTAAAATTAAGCTAGCTATATTATTTTACTACTTAAACATCTAAAGACTACTTTGTAAGATCAAATAGAATCATAATTGTAACATCTTACTTTACAGTCCTTATTGAAAGTATTGTTTGATGAGCATTTATATAATACCCCACATTGGCAAGCACCTTTTCTTCATGTGGTGGCATTTGAAGCAAATATATTTGAGCTGTAAAATAGCATTTTTTTATTAAATTATATCGGATTGTCTCGCACCAGGATTTTGATACTTCCACACATTGGAAGAGATCCCACAGCAACAAGCACTGCTCCTCCGCCACCAAGGCCAGCGCCGCCACCTCCATGAAAAGCCCTAGACAGATCCTAGCCATTTGCTCGAACAATGGAATGGAACTATGCTATTGCTGGCATAAGCCACAATTCACCAAAGTTAGAAACCCTGTGATACATGTAATGGATTGTTGGTGTCATGTTTGGAAATGTCGCGAATGTGACTTTGGGTATCGAAAGATACTTGTTGACCAGTCCTTACGGACACTCTTTCCTTACTGCCATGACGGCAGAAAATCGGTACAGTTGGATCCCTTTAGTAACCCCTCTTGTGCTAGTGGAGTTAACTGGGCATTTCGAGTGTACTTAGACTGGACGAGCATAAGGAAGGAATTCCTATGTGTTATTAGCTAAGCATACTTAGCCCGGTAAAGAGTTCCCGTCTCATTATGTCTTGCACTGGCTAGTGACAAAAACCCTCGCGTATTGAGACTAGTCCCTCAATGTTGTCGGATGATAGCTTACCGTGTCTGCCAAACACCCTCGCTATCATGCCCTTAGTGTTAGTCTCATTTCGGTCCTATATGCTATTTATGAAAAGTGTCTAGATTCGCTCATTTGGCATATCTACGGAATGTAGAGATCGGCCTGAACACAATGGTGTTCATCCCGTGTCCAAATTCGCAATCTAAGGCTATTCCATATTTAGTAAGTTTCGGACTTGTCCCAGAGACTAACTCCTGGTACTAAGGGAGGCTTGGGGTGAAAGCCCAAAGCGTGTGTCCCTCAAGGGAGGGGGGGGGGGGGGGGGCTGTGGGGGGTTCCAAATGTATAGTAGGGATAGTGGTTGGAATGCATGTTCGACCACCTGAGACATTAGTTTGGCTCCCGCTAGGCTGTGTCGCTCCTTGTTCTGCGTCCGGCTTGGGTCTAAGCCCAAGCTCCACGCTGCTCTAGTCGGTGGAGTACCCTCCTCCTCGCGTTAGGCCACCGGTATGCCAAAATTGTGCCAGACTCCATCTGACACCATTTTGCATGTAGGTGCTAGATACGGGGAGCTGGTGCTCGTGGGATTGTACCGGACCCTTGTTCGTAGTGCAACGGGCTTGGAGTTCGGCTCCAAATTCAAGTGCACTACAGGAAACATGAATCCATTCTATATTACAGCTTCCATCACACCATACAAATAGTATGAAGTCTTTTAGTAGAATAGAGCTAGGCAGCAGGGGTAATCTAAAGCAAGATCTACACCAATATAATAAATTTTATAGAGGATAAATACAAGATATATTAGTATAAAAAATAGTAAAAAATAATTATAGTGTTTAAAACTTTATTCATGAAAATTATAGTATTAACTATGTATTCCTGATAATAGTTTCATAAAAATAATATAAAAAGTTTTAAATATTACATTGTAAGTGCATAGAATATGGAAAGGGAATACAAAAAATATGCATATCAATTAGCCCAAAAGCCCTAGTTTATATATAGAAGCAAGTGGTCCAAATTAAAATCAATCCAATAGCTACCAAAATCCCACTATG